AGAAAAAGGTATAACAGAATAAACAAATAAAATCAAAAAACTTGTTGACCTAAAAAATGCGCCAACAGAATCCCGACCTCGTCCCCTTCAAACTTTCGCACGGAACACTCGTTAGGATGTAAAGGTCGCTAGTCAAGAAAAATATCCGACGACCACTTACACTCCGAAGGTTAAGTCAACGGTCGGACGAAAAGAAAATAAAGAGTGTTGAGACAGGAGGGGGTTTGGTTCGGGTTTTAGAACGTACCTTATGTTGTGAAGTGAACCCATATATATAGAAATGGAGGTGGGCCAAACGGGTTAAAGAAATGGGCCAAGTCCAATGAGGCCCAATATGAAATATATATAATAATAGTCCCCAAGTATGAGTTGTATTATTTATATGCGGGTCGGACTTCAAATATGAACTGTAAAATAGGTGATGCCCCGTCGGCCATTGTGGGACCCCCTCCGTCATGCGTATGCCACATAATTTTTGGACATAACAGTAGTCCCCCAAGTCTGAGTCATATTATTTATATGCGGGTCAAACTTCGAAATAGAAGCTGTCATGCAGACGAGGTCTTACAGATTGCCTCAGAAATATGGGTAGCTTCAATAAGCGAGAACTTACAAATTGCCTCGAAAGATAAATACTAAAAATATTTTGTCAAAATTTCGACAGCATCTCCCTTATAATATGGACTAAACCAACCTTAATACAAAATAATATATCCATAGCGCCTATACGAAATAAATTTGGGGTCCATTTGTCCCTTCAAATGCTCATAACTGTAAAGTAAATAATGACATCACATTTCTCCATGATATGTGCAAAGGGTCTGTCATGTATTACAGTAAATCATATGTTGGCACAGCTCAATGTATCAGTAGTGCTATAGTGAAGCAAACAACATGATGTCGACAATAAAATGAAAATGATGGTAACATGGCATACGTACTGGCTGTAATGAAAATAATATATGACATGCTAGCAGTGATATGACATTTATACTTGGAAGCAGTGATATGGTGTGTACACTAGCAGTAATATGCAGTGATGCTAAGATACTAAAATCACAATATAATCCTCCAAGTCTGAGCCGTACTATTTATATGTAGGTCGGACTTCGAAATATATTGAATATATAAGCCGCTATGATAAGCTGATGTAGAGATTATGCTCTAAATGTAAGTAATAGAGGCGATGTTGTGAGAGAGGTGAGCCTGTTGTACGAGGTGATGCCGTGTAGAGAGACGAGCCTTAAAAGAGGCGATGTCATGAAGACACGATGCATTAGAAAAGGCAATGCCATGGAGAGGCGAGCCTTGGAAGAGGCGATGCCATGGAGAGGCGAGCCTGTTGTACGAGGCGATGCCGTGTAGAGAGGCCAGCCTGCTTTACGAGGCGATGCCATGAACAGAGGTGAGGCTGCTGGATGAGGCGATGCCACGGAGAGGCGAGCCTGTTGTACGAGGCGATGCCTTGTAGAGAGGCGAGCCTGCTTTACGAAGTGATGTCATGGAGAGGCGAACCTGTTGTATGAGGCGATGTCGTATAAAGAGGCGAGCCTGCTTTACGAGGCAATGCCGTGAAGAGAGGTAATCCTGTTGTTTGAGGCGATGCCGTGTAGAGAGACGAGCTTGCATTACGAGGCGATGCCATGGAGAGGCAAGCCTTGGAAGAAGGCGATGCCATGGAGAGGCAAGCCTTGGAAGAAGGCGATGCCGTGGAGAGGCGATCATGTTGTACGAAGCGATGCCGTGTAGAGATGCGAGCCTACTGGACGAGGCGATACCGTAAAGAGATATGAGCCTGCTGGATGAGGCGATACTATGAGAGAGGTAAGCCTGTTGTATAAGGCGATGCCGTGTAAATGCATGCTTGTTGGATGAGGTGATGTCGTGAAGAGAAGCTCTAAAGAGAGGAGGCTTATAGGCTCGCCATAGGAAAGATTAACTTAAGTAATGTGCAGTATATTAGCTCATCATATAAATATAACTTAGAGATGCTATGGGCTTGCCAAAGACAAATCAACTCTCAAATTATCGGAGTCTTGTAAGCGGCCTCGAAATGATGAGGTCTTATGCTAGGCTCAATGAGAGTTGAGAAATAAACATATTGCATAGCCAGAAAAAGACATCTGGTGTACTATCGAACTATCGAAGTCTTATAAGCTAGCCTCGGATAGAGGAGGACTTAGAGCTAAGCTCGACAATAGTGAAGTGATGAATAATCTCGTCGAGCCAGGGATAAGCATCTGGCGAGGTGGAAAATAGGCATCCCGCAAATAATTGTTGAACTATTGGAGCTTCATAGGCTGGTCTCAGATGGGTGAGGACTTAGAGCTAAGCTCAAATAGTGAAACATCTCGCAAAACCAGGAATAAGCATCTGGCGAGACGAGGAACGAAAATCCTGCGAATAACTGTCAAACTATCGGAGTCTTATAAGTAGCCTTGGACAAATGAGGTCTTATAGCTAAGCTCAATGATAGTGAGAGGCGAGGAATAAACATCTCGTGAAACCAGGAATAAGCATTTGGCGAGGCGGAGAATGAAGATCCCGTGAATAACTCTCAAACTATCGGAGTTTTATAAGTGGCCTCGAACAAATGAGGTCTTACAGCTAAGCTCAACGATAGTGAGAGGTGAAGAATACACATCTCGCGAAGCCAGGAAAGGCTCATCTTTCAAGGGCGAACACGTCTGGCGATGCGGAGAATAAACATCCCGTGAATAACTCTCAAACTATCGAAATCTTATAAGCGGCCTCAGACAAATGAGGTCTTACAGCTAAGCTCAACGATAGTTTGAGGCGAGGAATAATCTCGTCGAGCCAGGAAAGACTCATTTTTCAAAGGCGAACACATCTAGCGATGCGGAGAATAAACATCCCGCAAATAAATTTCAAACTATCGGAATCTTATAAGCGACCTAGAGCAACTGAGATCTTACAGCTAAGTTCAACGATACTGAGAGGCGAGGAATAAACATCTGGCAAAACCAGGAATAAGCATCTAGCGAGGCGGGGAATAGACATCTCGTAAATAACTCTCAAACTATTGAAGTCTTATAAGCGACCTCAGATAGATGAGGTCTTACAGCTAGGCTCGACGATAGTGAGAGGCAATGAATTTACATCTTGCGAAGCTAGGGATAAACATTTGGCGAAGCGGGGAATGGAGATCCCACGAATAACTCTCAAACTATCGGAGTCTTATAAACGGTCTTGGACAAATGAGGTCTTACAGCTAAACTTAATGATAGTGAAAGGCGAGGAATATACATCTCGCGAAACCAGGAATAAAAATCTAACGAGGCGGGGAGTAAACATCCCACTAATCTCAAACTATCGGAGTCTTATAAGTGGCCTCGAATAGACGAGGTCTCACGGCTAGGCTTAACGATAGTGAGAAGTGAGGAATAAGCATCTCGTAAAATCAGGAATAAACATCTGATGAGACAGAGAATAAACATTTTGCTAATCTCAAACTATCGGAGTCTTATAAGTGGCCTCGAATAGACGAGGTCTTACAGCTAGGTTTGACGATAGTGAAAAGCAAAGTATAAGCATCTCGCAAAGCCAGAAATAAACATCTGGCGAAGTGGGGAATGGAGATCCCGCGAATAACTCTCAAACTATCAGAGTCTTATAAACGGCCTTAGATAGACGAGGTCTTACAGCTAGGCTCGATGATATTGAGAGGGGAGGAATATATATCTCATGAACCCAGGGATAAACATTTGGTGAAGTGGGTAATGGAGATCCTGCGAATAACTCTCAAACTATCGGAGTCTTATAAGCAGTCTCGAATAAATGAGGTCTTACAGCTAAGTTTAACGATAGTTCAAGGCGAGGAATAATTTCGTCGAGCCAAGAAAGGCTCTTTTTTCAAGGGCAAACACGTCTGGCGATTTGCCTCTTCCTTTTTCAAGGAGCAAGGATCTCAAAAGATATGCCTCTTCCTTTATTCAAAGAACGAGGTCTCCAAAAATATTGCATCTTCCTTTATTCAAAGAACGAGGTCTCCAAAAGATGCTGCCTTTGATAGCAAGAAATTCATAAGCTAGGGCTCGCCTTTACGGATTTAAGGTCTATCAGCTAGTCTGGTACATACGAGGTATTAAAACTTTCCTCGAAGAATAAAGATGATGATAAAAAGGCTCTTAATGAGCGAAATTTGAGCTGGACATTTGCCAAGTACTTGGTGCATGCCATCATCCATTTACAATATAACATGGGCAATAATAGATAACGACTCATTTCCACAAATAAAATTAAGATTCATCACCTTGTCCTTTCAAATTCTATGCAAGGCATATTAGCATGGTGTACTCCTCCTGTTCGAACCGGGGTTTGAAACCAAACCTCTCCTCAGGAGGATAGATGGGGCGATTCGGGTGAGATCTAACTTTCGATTCGCTCGTGGGATCCGGGCCATGAAAATTTTGTTTGGCATATTACAAGCAAGTTCACATATTTTGGAAAAACCTTATTACATCCCAAGAGTAATTTGAATATGTGTATCCCAAAAAATTAGAATCAACAGTTTCGAATATAAATAGATTCTAAGGAATAAAATTTGTTTCCAAAGACTACAAGTGTCATAAGAAATCCATACTCCAAAATTATGTTTGCATTGCTGCTGCTCAATTGCAGTACCAAACAGACCAATGTATGAACTCCCTATTATGGAAATGCATATTGCTGGGATTTGAGCAAATACAGTCAGAGGGGAATCATTTGGTTGCCATTGTACGAACATATTGCCCTTGAACAAAATATGTGGTGAAGTGTTGTAGTGACCAGAAACTCAAAATAGAGGAAGTGGCCAGTTATGCCCAGAAGGGAATTTCGAAAAAAAAAATGTTATTGAAATGGAGATGAATAGGCTTTAAGTGATAAAAGCCCAAACATGGACCACCACAACATTTTAAAAAGAAGCCCAAGTTATTCCCCAAATAAAATTCAGGCCTTATAGTTGCAAAACTTACTGCCCATATTTGTACCAATCCATAAACATTATAAGCCCAAACATATATAGAAAATGCAGCCCATTAAATGGGTTTTAAAGTCCAAACACAATAGACGTGGTCCTAATTAAATAAACTCCAAGATTCTATCTCACAAAAACGGGTTGGTTGGCCCAAGACCCATCAACTAACCTTTTTTTTTTTTTTTAATATGGTTGAACGGAGACTGTTGTAGCATCTTCTGACCAACTACAAGTTTGCTTTTAGAGATGGACTGAATCCATGGTCTCCATCAAAGTTAAAATCTGACAAATTGGAGGTGGAAAAGACATTAGATGGCCCTCCAAGGGCATTACCAAGGCTATATTGTGGCAGCAATAGTAGTAGAAGGGTACATGTAACAAGACAATTTTTATCCAACGTCCAAAAGTCGGAGCTGAGATATGGACCTAAGCTGAAGGCCTCTCGTTGCGTGGATGGAAGCTGTGGACGGTGATAATTCATGCTCATCTTGATGGTGGTTGTCAAGAGTGATGGATGAGAAGAGATCCGGTTGGATCATTTTGCCGAGCACTTGTTGTGCAACAATCTTCATTTGGAACAAATTATAAAAGTTTTCCTTCATGTTTCTATTTCTTCCATTGCCTCTCCAACCTCTCAAAATTTAGAAACTCAACTAAAATTGAATACTCGTCTCTTAGGAAAAGCTAAAGAAGGAGCTTATGTAATTTCGATCTTCGGACTGTCGTTGAATATCAAGCTGGTGAAATAAGATTTTTTATCTTTGCGAGCAAAGTGAACTGAATAATGGTAAAAATGGTCGACCAAGAAGAACCAATAGCAGAATTCTCTCTTTGTAGACCTGTTGGTTAGTTCTTGAGTTCATGAATATTTCTAATTTTTTCTCTCCTTCTAATTTGCCACAGAAACCAAATATTCGAATGGGCAAAACTAACGCTTTTCCTTTATTTCTCCCTTTTCTTTTGTGCTATGTATTTTTCCAAAATAAATTAGATAACTTTTTTCAAACAATTGTATCAAGTTGGCCTAGAATATTTACTCCAGTACCTATTCTCATGTCAGATTTCTTCGCTGCTGTCTTTGCTAATTTCCAATAGAAAACTGCCCAGGAAAATGGAATTTTCCGACGGCCTTATTATTTACATGGTATAATATTATGGGTAGTACCGTTCCCACAAACGGCGTCAATCTGTTGACCTCAAAAAATGTGCCAATAGAATCCCGACCTCGTCCCTCCAAACCTGCGCATGGAACACTTTGTTAGGATGCAAAGACCACTGGTGGAGAAAAATATCCGTCAACCGCTTGCACTCCGACGATCAAGTCAACAGCCGAACGAAAAGAAAATAAAGAGTGCCAAGACGGGAGAAGGGTTTGGTTTGGGTTTTATAACGTACCTTAAGTTGTGAAGTGAATCCATATATATGGGGTACTTTAAAAATGAAATAGTCAAAGAAGGGAAATTCCACTTTGACTTGTTCAATTGTTAATATTATCACAATGGCATATTGAGTGTTGAAAGATAAAAATACCCTTAAGTGTATCATACAATTACAAAAGAATGTTCTGTTTAAAAGACATTGTTACTATTTTGTTAACAAATAAAAACCAAACAATTCTCACTTAAAATATCAAAATCAGCAAATTTCTCATATCCGTTTACTCAACACAGATAAAAATACTTTCATCTTTCATCTACTTCAACCTCAAAATCTGAAAAATTCATCCAACGCGGTAGCTGAAAATTTTTTATATCAATCTCATCAGATCAGTAAGTTTATAATATGAACATTTAATTTTGTCTTCGTTAAATTATTTTAGTTTGCATAGATAAAATTAATTTCGACATATAATGTTAATGTAGATAGTTTTTTAATAGATCTGTAAAAAATTTTAAGCCTTTAACGAGAAAAAATTCATCTATATTAATACTAAAAAATTAATCTGTAAAAGTTTGGTGTATTTGTTTTGCCGGATAGTATAATTTGAACTGTCGACTGTGCAGTTAACTGTTGAAAAAACCCGATTGGACAGTCGGACTATTTAACAGCCGGATATTTGCCAGCTAGAACAGCCGAAGTCGGCTAAACTACCGGCTCGAACAGCCGGCTGTTTGACAGCCGATCAAATAGCCGACTGTTTAATTTTTTTTATTTTTTTATTTCGTTCAATATTTTTTTGCAATTAAAAATTCTTTTTCGTCATGCAAATATGATTGTAGTCCCTTTTTGTTACTTTGATGATTTCGAATTGAACGAAAGAGATCAATGGATATGAAAATGGACGAGTGACGTGGTGGTATCCCAATTTCCATAACAGAAACAACAATGTATGTAGAACTCTATAATATTTTACAGAACAAACTAAATGTCTATCTCTCTCAATATAATATGGAATTGAAATTTAAATTCAGTGATTAGGAAGTTCCAAGTCCACCTATGACGATTTCTTTGGATATCGAAGTGAATTATCTGTTTGAAATGAACAATAGGCACTCAACTTTTATTTGCGTGACTTTAGTGAGAAAGGATGTCGTCGAAGGTAAACAAGTAGACTCGGATGGAGGGGATCACAATGCTAATGATTTTTGGGATAAGGTCCAGATAGCTCGTGAAGATGATACGGTTATTCCAGAGACAGTTACTCATAGAATTCCTTCTAGTTCACGACAATGAGTGTGAAAATGCAAATACTTTTATAGACGATGATTTGATCACTTTATCTCGACAGAGACATGAGCGGGGTGGGACCTCAGGGGCTGGATCGAGTGAACCGTCCTCAAACTCCTCGCGCGTGATTCTCGATGGTGAAGATTTGTATGTCCAACAACTATTTAAAATGAAAAAAAAAATTGCAAGAAGATGTGCACCTAATAGCGCTGAATACAACTTTGAGTTCAAAGTGAAAAAATTGAACAAGTCCTTGTTGACAATTACTAGCATAGACGACAATTGTTGTTCGCGTTTGCGAGCGATGAAGATGAATACGAATGAGTGCTTTGTAGTTCACAAGTACACACAGGAACATAGTTGTGAAGTGGGATTACGTCGAAATGATCACAAGCAAGGCCAAGCTTGGTTTATTGATCGGCAGATAATACACAAGTATCAGGATCCACGTACGATCTACAAACCATCAGACATCATTAACGTCCGTCGAGAGTACGAAATAGTCTTGAGCTACCAGGAGGCCTGGAAGGCCAAAGAATGTGCGTTTGAGGATCTAATGGACTATGTAGGGAAAAGTTATACTAAATTGGCCAGGTATTGCAACAACATGGAGAAAACTAATTCTGGCTCGGAATTTTTTATTAAGACGGAGGGTGGAAATTGCTTCAAATTCTTCTTTATGGCTCTTGGACAATGCATTTGGGGATTTCGAAATGCAATGCGACCCCTAATTCTAGCCGATGGTACAACACTGAAATCTAAATAACAAGGCAAGTTGATTATTGCTACATGTCAAAATGTCAACATCTAAATTTACATTCTTGCGTTCGACATAGTTGATAGTAAGAATGACCTATCGATTCGGTGGTTCTTCACAAAGTTAAGGGAAGTAATCGAGGAAGTCGAGGACCTTGCATTTGTAACAAATTGGGGACGGCCTTTAATAAATGATATCGCTGAAGTTTTTTCAGATGCACATCATGGGTATTGCATGTACCATATTTAAGGTAATCTGAAGATAGGGTATAGGAGCAAATGTATCGTTTCATTGTTCAAGAGAGCGACTGAAGCCTACAGTGTTGAAGAGTGTAATAAGTTCATGGTTGAAATAGGAAGTAAATCATTCGATACATGTGATTATCTAACGAAAATGGG